ATTAGATGAGCTCAGGAATTACTGTAAAGAATTGTATAATCATGTTGCCAAAATTTGCTGCAGGGTGGATTCATGCAGTTTATACACCGACGGATTCTTTGGTTTTTGGAGGAAACTTTTTACATTTCTTAAATATGGAATTGCAATTAAAGTACATACAATGTTTGGGTTATGTAAGTATAGGATGATTAATTATCGCTATTTACTTTAATGTAGGGTGTATGACTTGGAAATCAGGTTGAATACTCCAGAGAAATTTCTGTTTCCTTTCTTTGAGACTTGTATCTGGTATTCCGGACGCTATCTAGTGGATCTTAGGGGAGGTGATTCAGAAAGTAATCTAAAATATCATTAGAGTTAATATCGATTTTAGATATTATTAATATCCTTTATAGAGAAAATATTAGTATCTCCTCACTTAAAAGAAGCAGCGGCGGCTGTGTTGGCATACTTGCGAAAATGGTGCCTAAAAGAGAATGTAATGATTGTGCAACACTAGATCAGTTGCTTTCTAACTTTATTCTAAAATTACGTAATTATGATTCGTTCTAAGATTAAGAGACATAAGCGCTATATCCCAACTTGCATCAACTTTAAACAGTTAATTATACATCTGGAAGAAGTAGTTTCAGAACAATTGTCGGTGAGTACTACCTATAAAGTAAAAAAGACGCGGAATATTTAAAGTTAAGGGAATTTATTTGGGTGGGATACATTTTATGTTTAAATTGCTAAATTACCTTTTGCAGTATAATCTGTCCTAATCAAGGCTACAGTTTGAATCTTAGTTCTTTTACATTAATCGAAATCTTGTGTGCCCTTACTTAAAGACTAAGATTGGAAGTAATTCAACGGAGATGAAAATTTCCGACTGTGTAACAAAGACTTGCGATACCCCTGGGTCTGAATATTCTATGCAGTATGTTCACGTTTTTGCGCATAATCTAGTATTGTACTTGTACTTAGCTTATTGGCGTGTGCTCACGTATGGAACTGCTGTACGCGTATGTTTAAATTTAAAGGTCAAAAAGCTATACTTGCAAGAAGGCGGATTTGAAAGGAATAGGATTGAAACTTTCACGTTCGTTACGTAATTATCTATTGCCATTCTGATTTATTAACAGTTTGGTTTATAGTTAGTAAAATATAGTTGTATAATATGTAAAAGGAAAGCTATTGATTGCAGGTAATAATCAACAAAGTATTGTTACTGGAAGTAGTGTCCCTCCTTTGACATTAAGCCTAAAAGCTACGCCAAGAATAAAAGAGTATGTTACTAACAGTAAATAAGTCAGAGTAGTTATTGAGTTAGTTGCTGTCTTTAAAAACTATCAATGAATTTCTTTCCGGTAGAAAGAAAGCCTCACTCGAAAATGACTTTACGGGAACTTGTCAAGAGCTATCACATTCAATTGCCGATGCCAAAGATTGCGCAGGTCATCCCGCTTGTGCCCTGCTCTACCTAGATTAAATTTTTTAAATAAATCCACGGTAAGAAAATTCATTCATGACGCAGATTCTG